TTCGATTGAGATAACTAAAAACAATATTAAAAATGACCATAATTCAGAAAAATTACAAATAAATTTTCGTTCAGAATTTTCACCATGAAAATGGGAAAATTTTGGAAAACGCTCAGTGCCATCGCATAGCCCGTACAAAAATCTATAGAAATCATAGTTTTCGAATCATTTTTCCTATTTTCTGTCTGCTTCGCAGCTAGTCGAACAGTAGCTTGTTTTGCACCGCTCAGGGCGCAGGGACATTTGACGTGAATTGCCCCCAAAATAATTTAAGAAATAGAAATGTTATGTAAAAAGGGGTATCTACATATGTATTACTTTATTTTGGTACTTTTAAGTCCGATATTTGCGTGGTGGTCACACGAGGGAAACATAACATGGATAAGTATTCAAAATGTATTATTTGTATTTAGATGATAAATAACAAATTCCTTTATGTAATAAGGGAGCACTATTATATTAAAACGGCCAATAACCTTTAGAAAGTGCAATATGTAACCAATATCTCGATTTATTACTACCTGGATCATAATATGCTATTGGAACTAGTAATGTAACTAGTATGAAAGCGACAATTGTCTCCGAACCCGCTGCAGGGTTTACATTTAACATTCACATCAAAAGATTCATTATATACATGTATGTGTGATTGAAATCCCTTTGAACAAAGCCAAGTTAACAAACTACGACAGGTATATACATATTTACTTTATATCAAAAATGGAACATTTATTAACTTATATTTACTTATTCACATCGAAACATAAGTGAACCAGACATAAAAAACTACAATGAGAAATTGGTATGTATGTATACATAGTACTTATTTATGTACATAAATAGTATGTATGTGGTGTCAGACGACTTCTTGTGATTTATAGTTGTCACGTATCACATCACAGGGCCGTCTAAATTCCTGATAACTGGAATATACCCACACGTTGCCTACTGTAAGATAGATCAATGCGGATATTAAAGTGTGTTTTTTTTATTTTTTTTATTAAGTAAAAGATTTACTTCGTTTGGCTCCTTTAATGACGGGACAACCAGCGTGGAGAGTGCGCAAATCGGGGTCCAGCGATTTATGTAAGTTGTGCCACATAATCATTGCTCCCTTGGTAGGCTCTGAGTATACATTGAGGCGAGGAAATACTGTGTAACCGCCCTGGTCTACGTCGGAGAGCTAAAATAAATGCGAAATGAAAAATTTTTGCGTTTTGTGTTTGCATTGAAACTAAAGTAAAAAGTTTTGACTTACGTAGAACATATTTGTGGCTATGCGATCTTCGCCCAATGAGGCGTTGGGGGCATCAGTCTGTTGAAAGTTTAATTAGCGCATAATTGCATTTCTAAGTAAACTTACCTGTCGTGCAAAGAAATCGAAATGCGGGTCATACTGTCCGCCAACGCCATAATTAGC